ACCGGCTCAATCGGTGCCTCCAGTGATGCTATCTCTTTCATTATTACCCAATGCTTAGGTTTACCTCCACTGTACTCATATCCTTCCATATCCTTGCCTGTACATAATGCCCTGAATCTATTCTACAACGCCCGGAAATCTGCCCCCTTTATTCTCTGTACCCAACGCACTAGAAGACCAGTTCTTAAAGCCTTTAGCCGTATCCTTATTCTAGTCTCCTCTGTTCCTCTGGTGATGTAGATGCTAACCCAGGCCCTGCAGCCCCCAGTATCACTCCTACTCCCCAGGAGCAATTATTTGTTGACTTCTGTATCCGTAAAAGCCTTGGTTTTCTGCACGTTAACATCAGAAGCCTCCTTCCTAAGTTTGAGTTATTCACTGCGTTAGCACACTCCGCCAACCCTGATGTTCTAGCAGTGTCTGAATCCTGGATTAGGAAGGCCACCAAAAACTCTGAAATTTCCATCCCCAACTACAACATTTTCCGTCTAGATAGAACTGCCAAAGGGGATGGAGTTGCAATCTACTGTAGAGATAGCCTGCAGAGCTCTCTCATACTATCCAGGTCTGTGCCCAAAGAGTTTGAGCTCCTACTTCTAAAAATCCACCTTTCCAGAAATAAGTCTCTAAGACCCCCCTCAGCCCCCAGCTGTGCCCTGGACATCATATGTGAATTGATTGCCCCCCATCTATCGTCAGAGTTCGTACTGCTTGTTGACCTAAACTGGGATATGCTTAACACCCCGGCCATCCTACAATCCAAACTAGATGCCCTCAATCTCACACAAATTATCAAGGAACCTACCAGCTACAACCCTAAATCCGTAAACATGGGCACCTTCATAGATATCATCCTGACTAACTTACCCTCTAAATACACCTCCGCTGTCTTCAACCAGGATCTCAGCGATCACTGCCTTATTGCCTGCGTCCGTAACGGGTCCGCGGTCAAACGACCACCCCTCATCACTGTCAAACGCGCCCTAAAACACTTTAGCGACCAGGCCTTCCTAATTGACCTGGCCCAGGTATCCTGGATGGATGTCGATCTCATTCCGTCAGTAGAGGATGCCTGGTTGTTCTTTAAAAGTACTTTCCTCTCAATCTTAAATAAGCATGCCCCAATTCAAAAAATTCCGAACTAAGAACAGATATAGACCCTGGTTCTCCTCAGACTTGACTGCCCTTGACCAGCACAAAAACATCCTGTGGCATACTGCATTAGCATCGAATAGCCCCCGCGATATGCAACTTTTCAGGGAAGTTAGGAACCAATATACACAAGCAGTTAGGAAAACAAAGTCTAGCTTTTTCAAAGAGAAATGTGCATCCTGTAGCACTAACTCCAAAAAGTTTTGGGACACTGTAAAGTCCATGGAGAATAAGAGCGCCTCCTCCCAGCTGCCCACTGCACTGAGGCTAGGAAACACTATCACCACCAATACATCTACAATAATCGAGAATTTCAACAAGCATTTTGCTACGGCTGGCCATGCTTTCCACCTGGCTACCACAACCCCGGCCACCAGCTCTGCACCCTCCGCTGCAACTTGCCCATGCCCCCTCCCGCTTCTCCTTCACACAAATTCAGACAGCTGATGAACTGAAAGAGCTGCAAAATCTGGACCCCTACAAGTCTTCTGGGCTAGACAATCTGGACCCTTTCTTTCTAAAAATAGCCGCCAAAATTGGCGCAACCCCTATTACTAGCCTGTTTAACCTCTCTTTTGTAACGTCTGAGATCTCCAGAGATTGGAAAGCTGCCGCGGTCATCCCCCTCTTCAAAGGGGGTGACACTCTAGATCCAAACTGTTACAGACCTATATCCATCCTGCCCTGCCTTTCGAAAGTTTTTGAAAGCCAAGTTAACAAACAGATCACCGACCATTTCCAATCACACCGTACCTTCTCCGCTATGCAATCCGGTTTCCGAGCTGGTCATGGGTGCACCTCAGCCACGCTCAAGGTCCTAAACAATATTATAACCACGATCGATAATAGACAGTACTGTGCAGCCGTCTTCATTGACCTGGCCAAGGCTTTCGACTCTGTCAACCACCGCATTCTTATTGGCAGTCTAAATAGCCTTGGTTTCTCAAATGACTGCCTCGCCTGGTTCACCAACTACTTCTCAGATAGAGTTCAAGATGTCAAATCGGAGGGCCTGTTGTCTGGACCTATGGCAGTCTCTATGGGGTGCCACAGGGTTCAATTCTTGGGCCGACTCTTTTCTCTGTGTATGTCAATGATGTCGCTCTTGCTGCTGGTGACTCTCAGATCCACCTCTACGCAGACGACACCATTTTGTATACATCTGGCCCTTCATTGGACACTGTGTTAACAAACCTCCAAACGAGCTTCAATGCCATACAACACTCCTTCCGTAGCCTCCAACTGCTCTTAAACACTAGTAAAACTAAATGCATGCTCTTCAATCGAACGCTGCTGGCACCCGCCCACCCGACTAGAATCACTACTCTCGACGGGTCTGACCTAGAGTATGTGGACAACTACAAATACCTAGGTGTCTGGTTATACTGTAAACTCTCCTTCCAGACTCACATTAAGCATCTCCAATCCAAAGTTAAATCTAGAATTGGCTTCCTATTTCGCAACAAAGCCTCCTTCACTCATGCTGCCAAACATGCCCTCGTAAAACTGACTATCCTACCGATCCTTGACTTTGGCGTTGTCATTTACAAAATAGCCTCCAACACTCTACTCAGCAAATTGGATGTAGTCTATCACAGTGCCATCCGTTTTGTCACCAAAGCCCCATATACTACCCACCACTGTGACCTGTACGCTCTTGTTGGCTGGTCCTCACCATCTATAAATCACTGCTAGGCAAATCCCTGCCTTATCTTAGCTCATTGGTCACCATAGCAACACCCACCCGTAGTATGCGCTCCAGCAGGTATATCTCACTGGTCATCCCCAAAGCCAACACTTCCTTTGGCCGCCATTCCTTCCAGTTTTCTGCTGCCAATGACTGGAACGAACTGCAAAAATCTCTGAAGCTGGAGACTCTCATCTCCCTCACTAACTTTAAGCATCAGTTGTCAGAGCACCTTACCGATCACTGCACCTGTACACAGCCCATCTGAAATTAGCCCACCCAACTACCTCATCCCCATATTGTTATTTATTTTGCTCATTTGCACCCCAGTATCTCTATTTGCACATCATCATTCCAGTGCAAATACTAATTGTAATTATTTTACACCATGGCCTATTTATTGCCTTACCTCCATAACTTGCTACATTTGCACACACTGTATATATATTTTCTGTTGTATTTTTGACTTTATGTTTTGTTTTACCCCATATGTAACTCTGTGTTGTTGTTTTTATCGCACTGCTTTGCTTTATCTTGGCCAAGTCGCAGTTGTAAATGAGAACTTAATCTCAACTGGCTTACCTGGTTAAATAAAGGTGAAAAAAAAAAAAAAAAAAAATTCAGAAGGTATTCAGACCCCATTACTTTTTCAACATTTTGTTACTTTACAGTCTTATTCTAAAATTGATTAAATTGTTTTCTTCCTCATCAATCTAGACTCAATACCCCATAATGACAAAGCAAAAACAGGTTTTAGACATTTTAGCTAATGTATAAAATAAAATAAACTGAAATATCACATTTACATTACAAGTATTCAGACCCTTTACTCAGTACTTTGTTGAATCACCTTTGAGTCTTCTTGGGTATGACGCTACAAGCTTGGCACACCTGTATTTGGGGAGTTTCTCCCATTCTTCTCTGCAGATCCTCTCAAGCGCTGTCAGGTTGGAGTACAGAGAGATCCTTGATGAAAACCTGTTCCAGGGCGCTCAGGACCTCAGACTGGGGCGAAGGTTCACCTTCCAACAGGACAATGACCCTAAGCACACAGTCAAGACAACGCAGGAGTGGCCTCGGGACAAGTCTCTGAATGTCCTTGAGTGGCCCAGCCAGAGCCCGGACTTGAACCCAATCCAACATCAATAGCTGTGCAGCGACGCTCCCCATCCAACCTGACAGAGCTTGAGAGGATCTGTACAGAAGAATGGGAGAAACTCCCCAAATACAGGTGTGCCAATCTTGTAGCATCATACCCAAGAAGACTCAAGGCTGTAATTGCTGCCAAAGGTGATTCAACAAAGTACTGTGTAAAGGGTCTAAATACTTATGTGGCTTGCGACATTTGTGATTTGTTTGTTCACATAAAGTTTGGAGATATCCAACCCTTGTCATATGATGAAGCTGTAAAGTCTCAAAGTAACATTTTGCTTGTTTGCAATGTATGCTGTTTAAATGCCGTGCCAAATATTGGGATGGTGGACACAAGCAGGGATGCTGAGTGCAATCTAGATGAGATAGTCGATGTGTCAGCAGTGGGCACAGAAAATGACATGTTTGACTGTTTCAATCGGAGAGGACTTCACTTTATCCATGTGAACGCACGGAGCCGGCTGCCAAAATTAGAGGAATTACAACTCCTCGCTTCTAACACTCGGGCTGCAGTAGCTGCTGTGACTGAGACATGGCTCGATGGGTCAATTGAGGACAATAAGGTTATAGCATTAACAGAATTGACCGAAACTGAAATGGTGGCGGCATTTGTGTTTTTACTAGGAATTATGTGCATTTTAACCCTTTTTCAGATCTGAATATGGAGGATCTTGAGGTTGCATGGGTAGATATACTTCTTCCTAAATGTCGTCCCATACTTGTTGGTGTGTGCTATCGGCCTCCTAAGCAGAATAATGTATATGATTTACTTGAATCTAATTGCTGTGATCACAATGTATTTGCTGATAGGGAATGTATTCTGCTTGGTGATTTTCATACAAATGTGCAGTTACCACCCAAGTTACACTAGTAAATGCCCTGTATAACTTTAATCAGGTATTTGGACTAAAACAACTGATTATTGAGCCAACCCGGGTGTGTATTGACAGTAAATCAACTTTGGATTTGATTATTGTATCAGACCAAGAGAACGTCTGTCAGTCAGGAGTCTTAAATATTGGTTTTAGTGATCATATGGTAACCTACTGTACCCGTAAGAAATCCAAAATGCTACTTGAGCCAGGTAATAACTACATGAAGGTACGGTCTATGAAACAATACTCAAAGGAACGTTTTGTAGAAGTACTTGGAATTTTGGATTGGTCTCATGTACTAAACTGTGATGATGTTGATCAAGCTTGGTATCTTTTTAAAGATCTGTTTCTGTCTGCACTCGACTCTCTGGCTCCGATGAAACAAATTAGAATCAAACAGCGGTCAGGGAAATGGATCACTTCCGAGATCTTAGACCTCATAAGGAAAAGAGATCGCTACCTGGCCAAATTCAGAAGGACAAATCTACAACAAGATGATGATGGTTATATCAACTGTAGAAACCAGGCAAGATACAAAATGGATAAGGCCAAATCCCAACATTACATAGACGCTGTTAATGACAACTTACATCAGCCTCGTAAACTGTGGAACATTTAAAAGGACATTGGCCTGAATATTGATGGTGTTTTATGCTATGACCAGGCAAAGGTTGCAAATAATTGAAACACATTTTTTACCGCTATAGCCTCATCTCTGGTTAAGAAGTAAATGGCCAGTCTTTCATTAACAACTTTTACCATAGCAAAGGTATCACAAATGATTTGTTTGAGCTGTGCATGGTAACAGAGGACAACATTTCCAATCTACTATTCTTAATGAGCACAAACAAAACAACTGGGCTGGATAACCTTCCTGCAAGATTCATAAAGGATAGTGCTTGTGTCACTGCTAAAATGATAATGCATATTGTAAACCTTTCTATCAGTAGTGGTACATTTCCTAATGATCTCAAAACAGCCCGGGTGGTTCCGCTCCACAAGAAGAGCAGTAAAACAAATGTAGGAAACTACATGCTTGTGTCGATCCTCAGCACCTTATCCAAAGTTGTTGAGAGATTCATTTTTAATACCTTCTCGAACACAAACTTCTTTATTAACTCCAATCTGGCTTTAGAACAGCTCATTCCACTGATACTTGCCTTATGCACCTTTTTGACCACATCAAGCAGGAAAGTGAGAAGGGAAACTATACAGCTATGGTCATGTTAGACTTGCAGAAAGCTGTGGACCATGATATTCTCCTGATGAAACTGAAATGCATGGGTCTAAATGATGTAGCAGTGAATTGGTTTAGGTCTTATCTGACCAACAGAACACAAGTATGTAATGTTGGTGATGTTCTGTCAGAGGCCAAAGAAATATCCTGTGGAGTACCGCAGGGATACATTTTAGGGCCTCTCTTATTTCTTATATACGTTAATGATATGCCAGATACAGTAAAACTCCTGCTTTATGCTGACGACTCAGCCATACTGGTATCAGGGAAGGATACAGTTTACATAGAGGAGACTCTGAGTAAGGGTTGACTGACAACAAATTGTCGCTACATTTGGGAAAAACTGAATCGATTTTGTTTGGAACAAAATGTAGATTGCTTAGGGCTGACAAGATAAAGGTAAACTGTGCAGGCAGGGAGATTTAATCTAAAACAAGAGTAACTTATATTGTTGTGTCCCTAGATCAATCCCTTTCTGGAGACATTCATAAGTATATTACTTATATGATACATCTGACACATTTAATGATACAGTTAGCTGTGTGACACCTTAATGAAAATGGACAAGATCATAAACTGTTATATGTTAACTACTGTGTGTAGATACTAAATCACTTTTACAGCCATGTTCAATCCATATTAGTGTAGTAATTCAGTGTTCTATTGCATTTTTCATCAAAACCGAACCCGTGGCTGTTTAAGACTATGGAAAACCTACCTAAAATCTAATCTATCTTACTCATGTTTTTGCCTAAGAAGCACAGAAATTGATTGTACTCACATTGTGCTTGGTGAGAGCTGATATATTGGCTGCTATTGCTTGGAGCCAATCTAGGCAGTCTTCAGCGGTGGGGCACGTGATTACCCCACTGCAAACCCCATCCACAGCTATGACTTGAAATGCATTTTTCCTTAAGAAATCAGAATCAGACAAATATACTTTTTAGTAGTGGTTGGCACCAATTCAATATGATATTAACATCGATATCAATATGGACGAGGCATATCGCAATATTGTTTTATCCTTAGTCAGGCAAACAGCTTGTCTTTCCATATATTAATCATGACCCATGCACTCTCAATTTCTATTCAAGATAAATAAGTAACAGCCAAGCAAGCTTTGCAGCAAATGGAGGAATCACTGTCTTAACTGTCAGTGGCTGACCTATCCATTTGAATAGTCTCAAGGTATTTACAGGAGACAAGTCATCCTAACACCGAGCCCCCAAAGTCCCTCGCCAGCGGACCCCTCTCAAATAGCCGAGGCACAGGGGCCACTGAACCTTCAGCAGTAGTGACAGAGAATGGCCCCTTGCTGCGTTTTGACAACGAGCGTTCCCCGTTCCCCCTGCCGCAGCCCAGCGCTCAGCTTACCTGCAGATGTCAGAGCCCGGGATGTGCTGTGACAGACGGGAGTGGAGGAGAGGAATAAGGCGCAGGTCCACCCATCTCTTCTCCCAGCGGAGCCCAGGGGACGTGGGCCAAGATGAGCAGGACAGAGAGTCCTAGAGGGGTTTGTACACACAGAAAGAAGAGAACACCTCTTCGTTTAGTTCTTCATATGGCATCTCTCATGGTTTACTAAGACGTCAATAGCCCAGGCCTGTTCATGATTCATACACGTAGATGTAGATGCAGCAGAAGCTGTGTAAGTGCAAGCCATAGTTCAACTACTGAATACGTTGTTTATTCCTCTGGCCCAGAGAAAGAGTGAGAAAGAGTTAGAGCACTCTGACCGTCACCGTCTGCCTGTGAATGCCACTGCGGAATAACAACAGCCTACTGGCATTGTTACAAGATTTGCAGAGAGACAGATATGGCTGAGAGTTATACAGAAATGAGATCAGTCTCAAAGCAGGGTGGGTTAAGAATGCTAAACTGTACCGTATTGTTAGGATGGTAGTTCAGGTGTAAGCCACTGTCGCACAGAGGGGAGGACGTTCCACTGCTCTGATCACTTGGAACACCTGGGAGGAGAATGACATTCAGAAGTTATTTATTCAGTCATTTGGAAGTCATATCATATCTTCTTCAGCGTTGGTACAATATCTAGAACTTTTATGTCTAGCTCTGTTTCGGGTAAAAACTATATTCAAAGCAATTTTTCTTTCCAGCTCTTTTTCAGAGGTAATTATACCAGACAAATAACAGTCAGACAATGCATGAATCATTATATAATCCATGTGTAGATGGAGAAGGTTTTTTCTCCAATCTTGTTTTATTTTCTCTCATCATATCCTTAGTGAAAATAACATACAAATTCAGCTCTGATATTTATTTGGAGGTTTCTAAGATGCACATACATGTGCAGTCTTCACAGAGGGGCAGTTTCAGAAAAGCCGGTGTCTTCTTCAAGAAAGAGACAGTCAGAGTGACGTCCTCTCCGGCGTTTCGCAAAACCTGCACCTGGAATGAAACAATTGGTGAATTTACAATACTGCCATAGGACTTCTAAGTCTGTTACTCATTTCAACCAAGTACTTGGATGATGGATGTAGTACAAATTCCCTTCTTAGAACAAGTAGATTAGATATCGGCTGAAAACCTGGGAGATTTATGCAGCCTCGCGCATTTGGGAGGTTGATACATACAAATTGGAAAAAGGTGTAAAACTGATCTTACAGGTCCCAAAGATAAGGTCCAAAACGTTAAACAAGATAAAGTGGTGTTGCAAGTGTTTGCAGCTTCAGGGAAATATAAAATATTAAGTTGGCAGCTTCTTACCGCTTCCTCGTGGCGATAGCTTCGAACATTTATTCCATTTATCTAAAAACAAACAGTCTTATTGTTAGTAACAATAATATTTGATTAATTAAACTGATGATATGCATGATATGGTTTATTTTACTTCTTTGAGGTGGCTCAGTGAGTTAATATATCGTATTGTGATCGATCTGCAGAGTGTGAAGGGGTTGCAATTCGACCAGACATACCTGTAGTAAAAACACTGAATGACAGAAGGCAGAAGAAACTGTCAAAATACTCATCACCATCACTTACCTGGAGGATCCCATCTCCGATAAACAGCAGCCCAGACAGTTCAGCTGCAGACAATATATGATTTATGATTATGTTTGGGTAAATAAACCATGATTCATAATTCATAGTGAAATGGAAAAAAATAAAAAAATAAAAGACAGCTGACCTTTTTGCTCTTTTGATATTTTTGATATCACAACAGGGATTTTGTGTTCTGCGCCTCCCTAGGGGGTGAATTATATAGTTATGTAGTTTGTTGCACAAACATTTGAAGGAAAGAAACAGAGAGAAAAAAATAGAAAAACTGTTGTGTCTTCCCCCGTACGCTACTCCATTAGTCTACTGTTGATATATCAATTGTGGTTTTAAAAGATCAATTGCATTAGGTGACAGTAAACTAAAAGATAGAATAAGCAGAAACTGATTAATCAATGGAGATCTAAATTACCTTGATGCTCAAGCCAAAACCCCCAATCGTCTGTCTTCTGATCGTTACAGTTCTCTCCTACAAGGAATCAGATGGAATAAAGAGAAGGTGTTTATTATGGAGATACTTAGAGTTTAAGAGTTTACCCTAGATAATACAAGTGTAACAAAGCTGACTGATATACAAGACAAATTACAAAGGAAAGGCCCATTTTAAAAGGTATTTTCTCTCCAGTCATGCTCACACCTCATTCTCATGGTTCCAAATGTAATGTCTGCCTGACATTCAATTTTTTCTCGTAATTGAAACACCCTTTCCCAAGGTATTTTATTTGACAGGCAGGGCAGGTTACTCACACTGGAATAAAATGGTTCTCCTGACACACAGATGACATCTTGCTCTTGAATGGTCAGAATGTCTTTAGCCAAGTGCAGTCGAATATTGAAAGGCTCCTCGTTACCATCTTGCAGCAGATAAACCCCAGTCTTTGCCTGCAAAGTAAATCAAAGTGGGAAAATCATGTATCATTCTTCTGTGTCTGAATTAACTGGCCATTAAATAAAATGAAAATGTCATCGAATTGGAAAGACATTGGAGAGACTTTTGGCAGAGTGACACGTATGATAATGATACAGACATTTAATATTTTTCTTCTTCTTAGCCTGTTAATTTCAAAATGGTGACATGTAAAACAATGCCCCCATACATTATGTGAATTCCACTCTCAGAAAACCTAACTAGTAACCAAGAAACCATTGTCTCTAATAGGTTTCGAAAAGAGCTATCATTATTCATGATCACTTCAGGGAAATCTTTTTTCCACTAGTGAATATATTGCATACATCTTCTATATTATGTTGCAATTCCGTTGGATAATAGGAGACAGGAGAAATATAGATTTGCTAATTAGGTTAGTTCTCAGCAAATTATTTTCACTAATTAGTTTGAATTACATTTTCTTTCTATGCACTGTGCTATAACATTAATCAGACCAAAATATATTGTTGTCTTGGCCCTGAAAATAAATATCATTATTTCATAATTTGCTGCAATGATACGCCTCTTAATCACAGGCAACAGAAAAAAAGATTTACAATAATCTAATTCAATAAATCTCCAATTAAATAATCAATCTTCATTTTGTCTATGAATTCCTGTGGAATTAAAAGGTTTGAATAAATGTTCAGTCACCAAATATGCATTTCTCAGTGTTGCGCAATAGAAAAGGATGAGAGAAATCATCATCTTATCCATTTAAAACATGCTAATCTGCATAAATATGCATTCTGTATAGCCAATTCCCCACCAGCTAATTGGAATGCCTGTCCTGTCCTTGAAACTACGGTTAAGTCTAAATAAGAAAAACACCTTCACCTGACATGATTACTCATGTAAAGCCAAGCACAACAATGTCACTGAGCATCCTTGATGACAAATGCAGTAGTGTCGCTAAAGGATACATTAGTCACCAGTTAAAAAGGAAGGTGACTATTTTTAGACAGAAATGGTAGCTCAATTGCAGGTATGGCAACTCAAAGAATGACATTTACTTGTACTGTACTGTATCTAGCTCTGTGTAAAGAAACCATTAAAAATCAGCCTGGGTGAGTATTATTCATATCAACAGCAGCATATCAATGTGAAAGTGTTTTTACAGTGGGTTGCCTTGCACACTATATCCACAGCTAGTTCAATATCACCATTATGGTGTGTGTATGTCTCACACGTGTGAGTTTGTGTGTGCGCGTGTGTCTCATGAGAGAGAGAGAGAGAGAGAGAGAGAGAGACAGACAGACAGACAGACAGACAGACAGACAGACAGACAGAGAGAGAGAGAGAGAGAGAGAGGGGGGGGGGGGGGGGGGGGGGGGGGGGGAGCTGTTGGAGGCAGAGTCATTTTCGTTAGCCGAGCTGAATCAGTGCTACGATGTTGCTATATCTATCACTGGGTAGGTCAAAAGCAGCCTCTACTCTGCCTCTCTCTCTCTGCTCGGCTGAGCATTGTTTGACCTGCTGTAGAGCATGTATGTAATTACCCTTATCTCTGATCCCATCTTGTGTTTCATCATTACCCTCTCATCCTAATCCTCTCCATCATTATCTAGCTACATCATCAACTCCAATCAGATACTGTCGTCTGTGTACATTTACAATTTACACCACAGGCAGTTGGCACCAGGCACCAGGTATGCAACAAGGACAGTCACATTTTCATCTACCTAGCCAATGATGCATTGTAGAGATATGATAATTAATTATACTCATTGTGGTGCAAAGGTTAACATGTGTCAGCAGTTGAGTACGCTGTCAAGTAAAAATACATAATGCTATTTGCTGTGGCAGACCAATTTGCTACAATTATCTTTGCAAAATGCTGAGGGATTGAAATCTATTCAACTCAAATTGTAGCTACCTCTTCATTTGAAGTCTTGAAATCCATGTGCTATGGTACAGTGAGGGAAACTGCCCTGGAAAAAGAGAAATTGTAAAAGGAAATTGAATTAGCTTCCTGAACAAAATACCTAGCAGTTAGTCAGTGACATGGTTCTTCTCACTTGTAGTAATAGCACAGATTGCCCAAGCACTGTATGATGGTGCACCCCTTTCTACTTAATACGAACACAAAACCCACTAGCATGGTCTGCCTATTTTCTGTCATGTCATCCTTGTGGGACCAAGCAATATCAATCCAGAGTAATAGATTTTCATTGCAATTTCACTTCTTTCAAGCAGAATCCTGTGCAGAACTAATCAGGGGGGAAACCAGAGACCATTAAATGTCTATGAATAATTCATAAGCTGAAGGTGGGAACCTAAGTATCTATCCTGATAAATGTTTCAATATGGAATCTATTGCTCCCGTCACCTGACTGACTGTGTTACCATATCTGTTACGGTGTTACAGCAGGGCTAATCATTGAAGCTGTTGAAGACAAGTCTCAGATGAAGGAGTAGTACAGTTCTGTTCTGTAGTAGTAATATAGATTGTATGGGAGAGAGCCATAAATAAATGGCTCTGGTTTGGGATAAGGATAGATATAGAACATATGCTTCCCTTGTCCTCAACGTTGCAGTGAAAAAACTGCAGTCCTTGAAAAGGAAATAGTTACAGTATATCAACATTGTGCTTTAGGGGTATATGTTGCAGTATATGTTCAAGGCTCACCTCAGTAGAAAGGCCCCCGGCTCTTCGTCTGTAGAGGTCTAGCCATGAAGCAGGCAGGTGAGCACTGATCCTACCCGTGGCAGATGAGCTTCCCTGGGCATGGCTGTGGGGGGACGCAGGCCCTCCCCTGGAGCTGGTGGCAAAGCCTGGCCTGTGGTGGGCTTGGTGTTGGACCACTATGGGCAGTGGTTGACCTGGTGTATGTGCTGCCACAGTTCCAGGTTGTTGTGGCCAAGGTGCTGTCCCAACAGTGGTTACGGAGGGTGTCCGATGGTGGACTCAGGAGCAGTTCCACTCAGGTCCAGACTCAGAATGAGCTGAGCTGAGATCAAAACATAACATTAGTTAGTTTGTGAGGTAGTGGAAAACTAGACCAAAAAATGCCAAAAAATGATGGCACAACAGTAACAACAGTAACACTTTAACCTGATGCAATGATGTTTCATATTTACAGAGCTCCCAATCATGGCACAGAAAAACGTCACAGTGCAAAAAGACTAATGACTTGACAGAATAACTCTGGGTGTGATGATTTCCAAACCAGTTTATGGGAAAGAGGCAATTTGTTTGACAAGCACAGAGGATGAATTTCAGAGAGCAGTTTGTTACCAAGCAGTGAGAAGTCTCAACTGATGCAGGTTGAAGGCACCTGTGGGTCCAATAATATAAACACCTAATGGCAATTAACTCGTATTCTTCAGTGTCCTTGTCGTTTGTATGCCAAGCACAAACGTTTCTGCCAAGGTGTTTTGTTGTGTTGCAATCGAAACCTCAGGAGAAATTATTCTCGTTAGCGCTCATTTGTTGACACGATATCACATATCTGTGGAACTGTATTGGCAAGCTGCCTCTGTGATCATTGTTTTAAGACACCTTTTCGACTCGCTTTTCGTTCACATTTGAAACTATACCGCATCATGTTATGTAAATCTTTTCCCTCTGCATCAAAGAATATGCAAAAATATATTTTTTTTAAACCTTTATTTAAAACGCAGCCTTTGCAATGTCTCTCAATGTGGTGGCATTCCATCTGGAGCCTGCCAACTCATTGAGTGATGTATTCTGATGCCATTTTAGACCTTCTTTAAAAATGAATGGCTACATCTGTCCTAAAATGTTCATCTAAAAAAGGAAATGTTTTATATATTGTGTGCAGCCTGGCTGTTTGAAGACGAATGCAGGCCTGCTTCCAGCAGGTGCCCTCGAGAACATACTGACAAATGCAAGCAGTTCACTTCACTGCCAGAATCCCAGTCAGATAGACTGAGCTGAACCTTTTGTACAATTTAAGTTGAGTCAGCGCAACTCACAGGCACGCCATCAGATATTTTCCCCGAATCACTGCACAGTGTTTCTCTCAAATAGCACTCCTGGCTCTGACACAATAGCAGTAGAAAGTTAGCGTAGAGTAGAGAGGAGTAATTTTGCTTCATTTGCTTGGAAGGTGTTGGCTGATAGAGACATCGCCTCGCCAAGAACCTGAAGACAGCAGGTGTCGGCCCTCGAGGAAGAGACCAGCCATTTCTTCTACCGGTTACATTGATACCGTGACCTGAATCTAAGGGAGGTGGCTATAGTAGCTGGAGGCTTAAGCTTTAGGGCTCGATTCAATCCGTATCGCAGAAGATCCGTGGTATAGCACGATTGAAATGTAAAGGCAATGTTCCCCGTGTTCGATGAGACTGCATTCACGGTAAATGCTCCATATGTCGGCTCAATCGAAAATTACCTTGAAATTACAATCTCGCCATACCGCAGATCTTACGTGATATGGATTGAATCGAGCCCTTAGTAGTCTTACGGAACCAGACGAGTGTGCCTCTGGATATGGTGTATACCCCGACATACTGTATATTTACGCCTGTCTGTAAAGTCTGGTATGTGAGCTTGAAGCTTTTAGCAAAGACAGCTCTGCCTTGGATTCAATGCACTAATGACCCAGGTGAAATTCCCATTATTGTTGATTAGCTGAAATTAACACATAGGTACAGGAAGAAAACTTCAATCAATCAGATGACAGGATCAATTTACAACTCTGCCTACCCTTCCGCCTACACAGTATATAAACAGTGACATACATCACAATGGTGTGCTGGCTGATTTCTGCATCCCAACTCCACCAACGCCCATCTCCCTTCCTTCTTCTCTCTTGGCGGATTCTTCCATAGAGATATATGAGATGAAAACTACTAGATATTCTCTATGAGTTCTTCTCTATCTCGGTCCTTGACCTGGAGCCAAACCGACCAGAGGCCGTATCCAAACCAAAGTAACTACAGTATTTTCAATGTATCAACCATACGGCCATACCTGCATAGTCATCAG